GATCCATGGCATCCCTTGAAATTATCCAAACCATCCTTCAGCTCTGTAGTCAGGGTGGGGCCAGTGAGTGCACTGCCCCACCTACAGCAGTTCTTTGCCCCACTTAGGACTCCAGGAGATTGAATCATTTATTTTTAATGGATGACATTTCAGGCTGGGCAGGGAACCTCTTTCTACCTGATGGCTGGATTCAGTTTTTGAGAAGCACCTGCTTTCAGGCCTACTTTCTGATTTCCCCCTAAATATGTGAGGTCTTTTCAGGGTCTCTGGACAGAAAGTTCCATACAGAAACCAGCAAAACTTTTTAAATTGTTTTCTACAATTAGGTTCCAATTACTGAGTTAGTCCTTGACATTGCAACCCATTAAAAAGGACCCAGTAGCTTCATTCTTATCCCGGTCTGCATCCTTTCTAAGGGACAGTTTATATCGTGGGTGATTTTGTGGTGACCTTAACAGAGGTGTGAGCAAGCAGAGGTCTTCAAGCCAATTTCATGCAAGCCTCGGTCTCATTTCAAGGGCCCTGTACCTGTGATGGGTTTAGACCTCAGCAAGAGCAAGCTCTCCTTTCTGTGGCAGCCTGCAGGACAGGAAGGAAGAAGGAGAGGGAGGAAAAGGGCCAGCAGAAAGGGAGGAGGGTTCATCCAGCCACTCTGGGCTATGATCCTGCTCCCTGCTGGCTCTGCATGCCCTTGGTTGCCTCCAGGGTAGAATGCTGCCCTGCCTTGCTGTGAAGTGGCTGATTTGTCATGCAAATTGCTCCCATATGCAGAGAAAGTCCATGTGGTCAGGCAAGGCTTCCTAGTTTTGGAATGCCTATCTGATCAGCAGTTCCATGCGGTGGAGGGAAGATGGAGACAAGCCCTCATTCAAAAGTGTTTCGAAACAGTGGCTTCCAGATGAGCTGGTCTCTCAAGCAAAATCCAGTCCCCTTATTATCCTCCATGTTGTTGTTTTTGCTGTTGCTATGATTATTACTATATAAAGAGGCTATACATTCCCGGGAGGAGTTAACCTGCAACTTGATTGTGTTCCGTGATTTATGTGGGCTTGGCAGGGCAAAAGTGTGCGCTCCATATGAGGAACAGGAGGCTGGAAATCATGAATATTTCATCCTGCTCTCCCACCCTGAGCTCTCCTCCCCCCAATCTCATGATCTGCTTCATTAGCTGCTCGGCCTGGACGAGATAGGTAATAAAACTAATTGCCATTTCTAATCCACTGATGTCAGTGCAGTGAAATTATTCCACTGATGTGGTTCTCCACTTCCATACATTTATGTCGGTAACAAGTCTATATAGGGCCGTGCTGGAATGTGTTGTTAAAAGAAACAGTGTTGGTTAGGCAGGCAGGGAGGAGCACTGTGAGACCTCAACAAGAGCGAGAGAGGGATGGTGCACCATTGTGGTAGTTTTGTGTGGCGAAGTCCATTTGCACTCTATTCAAGAGAGAGCTGCCTCCCAAGAGTCAACAATCAAACCCTTAGAACATCTCTCATCAGCAGACAGACTTTCAAATTCAAGTGAACTCTTATAAGGAGATGAGTTTGACTCAGGCAAGGTTAACTCCGTGTCTCTTACAATTGCTGAGTTAGATGGAATTAGGTTCTTTACACAACAATATTAACTTGAGTTTCAAATAGAAACACACCTTTCCAGGCTTATAGTCTGCCTGAAAGGCAATAAAAGTTAAGCTTCTATGTCACTTTTGATTAGGTTCCTAAGTGACTTAATGGAGAATTTTTCTACGCATATTAAGGTTCTCAAAGCTAGCATGTCCTGGAGACTTAACAATCTTGATATTAAAGCAGTCATTAAAGGGAGACCAAGAGTGGTACTTCCTAGTGTTAAGCGAACAGGGCAGGGAGGGGGGATTTGAGCTCTCCTCCCCCCACGGTTGGAAGAAAGTGAGGCAGGAGGTGGGATGTGAGCTCACTGGCCATTTGTACACAGAGAGGCTTTGCGGCAGAGCTGGCATGGCACGGGGGCCACCTCAGCAGTGGACAGCCAGGGCCATCACTGCTGCCTGCGCCCATTTGTCCCACTGGCCTGCCCTGTGCCTGAACAGCAGCAGCAGCAGCAGCAGCAGCAGCAGCAGCAGCAGCAGCAGCAGCAGGACTGCAGAAACACAACCAATGCAAATGAGGCTCGGGCTGCTGGCCAGGCTGGGGGGAAAGGGCCGCGGAGCCCTCCGTGCAGATTCCCCCATGTACACGAGCAACACTGTGGGCCAGCTGATCCCAGCACGCAGTGTGAATAGGTGCAAGCACGCACGGGCTCGCGGAACAGGCCTGGAATTAGCCAGAATCGTTTTATCACGATTTCATGAATGAACATGACGAATGCACGGCCTTGTCTCCATTCAAGGGGTCACTCAGAAAGGGGGACTGCCCTCTGCATGGACTACACGCCTTTCACATATGTGATATATGGCAGTCTTCCCCAGGCCGCTGCCCTCCAGAAGTGCCAAATGCCCAGCATTCCTGAGCCTTGGCTGTGGCTAAAGGGAACTGAAGTCCAAAACATCTGCAGAGCATCAGCTTTATATACAGGTTCGGTGCCTTAAGAAAAGCTACAGCTGCTCCTTTGCACATTTTCTTCCCCTTGAGGGCTCTGGGGGATGCTGGCATTTGCTATCCCGATTCTTGCCCTGCTTTCATGGCCATACCTACTGTGCCATGAAGAATGCTAATGGAAAGTTGCTTTCAAACATTTGAGTAGACAGTTGGTCTTTCAGAGTACATTTTGACACAACTTTCAAAGAGCCTCTTTCACCTGCCTGCAAAGCTCCCTCCAACTCAAGATCATGCAGAGACAGACAAATCCTTTGCCGGCCCCCAGTTGCCACGCAGGACAAGAGCAGCTTTCTCCTGCCACCTTCTCATGGCAATACCAAGACAATCCTTAGAGGGCAACAAGGAATTCAAAGTTCCCAGGGAAGACTCAAGGCCTGGCAATATCTGTTTCAGAGCTAATGAGGAGGCCTGGGTTTTCTCCCCACTGATGAGTCACACAGGGACAAAGCACTAATTGAGCTGGGAACAGGCAGCGGCACTAAGTGGTTCTGAAAACACCTCAGGCCGGCTCCCAGAGGTTGCTCCATCTGTCGGAAGCGTTTACACTGTGAAGGTTTTCCAGCGCGGAAAAACACAGTGATGGGTGAGGCAGGATGGAGTGCTTCAGCTCTCAAGTGCGCGTGAGATTTTAGGGCCCTAATGACCCCAACAAATCTCCTTTCCATACCCATGTGCATGGCAATCCACATCTTTCAATTGTTAGAAACTGCCAGATGGTAGGATGCGAGTGGTGGGGGACTACATGACTGTCTATTATCTTTCCTCACTAAAAAGCAAAAAATAAAAAAGGCAGCACACGGCCTGAAATTCCTTGGATGAGATGTCTCATGCTACCACCTGTAGGTGGAATCAGTCCTCTGCTTCCTTTTTTAATTTTATTTTTTTGCCTTCTCCTCTGGTCCAAGAGCTGAACTGTATCTGTTCTCTCTGTGATAGGCTGCTTACTTCACAGTTACTCCTCAAATGTGACTAGCAGCAGATAGAAACGCAGTGTAAGCAACACAGACCGATACTGCACCAGCAGAAACCAGATTACCTGTCCTGCAAATTATGCATATAATAAACTGTTCTGGGAGTGAGCATTTACTAAGGCAAGTTTCGTGCATTTCATTCCAAGGAAAGAAGCAAACATCACAGGGAACGAACAGGACAAGAGCAAAATAGCTTCTCAGATACACAGTCTTCATGGCAAGTCATCAACCCTGCACTGTGATACACCGGAGAGGCATTCTCAATACAGGGCTAGGCAAAATTGCTGCACCCCATCTAAATTAGAATGGCAATTTCACCTTTAAAGACCCAGAAAGAGACTGTTTTTCAAACAACTGCCCAGGCCGAAGCTATACTTGGAAACAGGGAAGGAAGGTTCAGCACAAGAATGTTAAAGGCAGAGGGAGATCAGCATCAGCTCTTCAAGATGCACACGGGCACAAGATCACTTAGGGGTGTGCAGCCCATCGTAAAAGTACCGCAGGTAACAGCGCCAGGATAGAAACCAATGGGTGGTTTGGTGCAGTGTCCCTCACAGTCCAGCGTAGGCCCTGTAGCAGCAGCAATTGTTGCTGTTGTTGTTTTCAGGGCTCTGAGAAACAGACCTTCACAAGACCACCAGCATTTGCTTGCAGACCCTCAATCAGACCCTCAATCAGCATCCACCCCCTTGGTCCTCTCCAGATGGGTCAAGCCGTAGGTCTCTTTATCCATAACCAGTTTTGAAACACGTGGGTTTTGGCAACACTGAGCTCAAGATCTGGCATTTGGTCCAGGCCTTTCTTCCTCCTCTGGCAGATATATTAGCAAGTTGCCCACTCCCCACTGCGGCCAACACCAAGCTAAAGCTTAAACAGCGCACTAGTGCCAGAAGTCTTCTGCTTCCCTACATGTGCAGCTACTGGGGCTATAGAGAGCTCTTTGCTCTCCTCTTGTTGCCATAGGGAAGCTCCGCCTTCCTTATCTGTAGCTTCTAAGTACCAGGATCAGCTCTAAATAGTCTTCTGGCTTCAAAGCTGTACTGCCAGCAAAGCTGAGACGCCACAGCACAATTAGAGGAATGGCTGGGGTCCTTTGGCGGGGTTAGCAGGCCGCACGGGCCCCCAGCCAAGCTGCATTTCCCCTGGGCCTCCAGCCTGAACTCGCTCATGCAAGAACTTGCTGCAGGGAAGCACCACCGCTCGCTCCGCTCGCCCTACTACCCCAGATCACTCAAGCCTGGGCCCAAACTAGCTTGGCTTCTTGGTGACCTTCCAATGGTGTTGGAATTGGGTGGGGAAAGGAGCAGATCTGATTAGGCTTGGTTAAAGATTTCCATCCTCAAGTGCATATGAATACAATTCCTGTACCTGTGTAATATGGGAAATTTGGACCGTTCACCTACGGAGTTGCCTTCAGTCTTAAAATGAAAAGCTCTGCAAAAAGGGGGAACTCACAGCCTTTGTAGATGTCTGTAGGTATCTGCACAGCAGCATACGAGTAGTTGACCTTAGTTTTAAAGTTGTCATCGTCGGTGAAGTCCAGCTTCAAGGAGTTGGATTTCTCCCTTTCGATTTCTTCACCCTCTGGATCATCCTGGGGAAAGAAAAAGAGACATGCCATAAAAATCCTGATCACTTTCTACAGAAGAGGCAGTGAGGCTCTATGGCAGGTAAGATGCAGTTGCCGAAATTAAGCAGGACCAAGGGAGAAGCAGGCCCCATACAGGGCACCAGAGGTACCGGGCTGCTACGGGCAGGTACACGGTTGGCCACCATGGACCAATCGGCAGCCACGTGGCTCACCCAACCACTTTAAGTGCGCATGTTGCCTTGCAGCTCCTCCCAGTAAGAACCAGGAGCTTCCTCCCTCCTGATCATTGCGGAGTGGTGGTCACTGCGTAGTAGGACTGGGTAGAAGGCCTCTAGATATTGCAGACTTCAACTCTCAGCATTGGCCATACCGCCAGGTACAGATGTGCATTCTGTGTGGAAAATCTGCCAGAACCCCTGGGCTTGGCTTCCAGACTCCAGGTCGCTTTGCAGTGGCCCTGAGTCCAAGTACATGGTGAACGTGCCCAGGGTTTGGGGGTGGGGGAGCTAGCCAGGAACTGAGCCCCACTCCCTGTGCAAGAAGCACCATTCCTCCACATCTGCTGCTGCAGCTGGCAGTAGTGAATGGGGAAGAAGGCTGGCTGCCGGGAATCGCATCTGGGCGAGGTTGCTGGTTGTACAACTGGGAGTCAGCAAGCATTTGCCATTTGCAGGCTTCCGCCTGGCTCAGCTCGCTTTGTAGGACCAGGCCAAGTGTGAGAGAAATTCTGTGGGTTCTGGAGGGGTGGATTAAAAAGGGTTCATCCCAACCATGCTGGCAGAGGCTTCTGGATTCTGCCCATCCCTGTTGTATAATACCTGCCATTCTGTTCCACTAGCTGCTGTTTCTGGCATGTACATGAGTCATGCTGGTGTTTCTAGACAACTCCCACCCCAGTTGGTTCCGGGCATCTTGGACATGTACACAGATCAGCAATTCCATTTGAACCTGTTTGACGGATGGGAGGATCCACCATAAATTCTCCTTAATGTGGTCAGTATTCCCGAGTACGCCAGTAGGTAGCCTTCTAGTGGGAGTCAATGGATCTCTAGGAAACTCTTTCTTCTCACAACAGTTGTGAGAAAAGGTGTGCAAGGTGATCCACACCACCACCACCAAAACAATAACAACAATAGGACCTGACGCTAAGAGACAATGCCTGGGTTCCTATAACAGTTGAAGCCTGGGGTGCTGTCCTCCCTGTTCCCAACCTCTGCAGGGTGGCTACAAAGCCGCCCCGTGAAGCGACGGCTTGCTCAGAGGACGCTTAACCCTCTGTGGCTTCCTACGTTGTCCAAACCTGGATGACATGCTAAGCTGTGGGCAAACCTCGCAACAAGAGAGTCGCTTGGGGAGAGCGGCAGAAAGCCCTGCTGCTCTGGCCATGTGGACCAGGGCTGGGGTCCTCTGTCACTGGGCTAGTCAGGGAGAAGCTGTGGGCGTCTGCAGCCATCTCTTCTTCCTCTCGCTCCTCCTCTGCTGCCCCTGTGCACTGCGCGCTGCCTTCCCAAGCCCTGGAATGTGGCTGAGCAGCAGCGGCGCCTGGCAATGCGAAGGAGCAAGCTGCCTCGTGCTGAGCTTCCCGCTGGGGAAATCCAGTGTGAGGCAGGGCATCCCACTGCCTGGGACACTGTGGCAGCTGCCCCACAGTGCTGCTGGGGCACTTTGGGGCAGCTGTCTTCCCTGCTCCATTCTCCCCAGTGCTCACCTGGCGTCCCATGGGGTGCTGGCAGCAGGATGGAGGGGAAAAGAGATGCTTTGGCACCCCGACTGTGGGTGAGGCCCAGGCTAACCTTAAGCTCAGAGTGGCTACATGGTGTCAGGCAAACTCACCCAGTGGCTTGCCCAGAATGCACTTGGCTGCATTGGGTTTGAGGTAGACACATTCAACTCATAGTTCAGGCTCTTTAATCACGATATAATGCAGCAGGGGTAGAGTGTTTTGTCACAGCCCATGGTCCTGCCCCTTCCCCCAGGGAGTGTGTTGCTGAGAAACTGGGATGTTTATTCCCGAGCCCTCCTCAGGTAAACTCCATAGCAACAGCAGGAACGGCAGGAGCCATGGCTAGAAAGCGCTGGGACTGGAATAGCTGCAGATCTGCTGCATCAGGCAGAGGTGGCTTGCAAAGCAAACTGGTTGAGAAGATGCTGATTCCGGAGCTCATTTCGTGGCTCTGTTTAACCTTGCCTCTCTGTTTTCAGCATCTCGGCAGGTATTAAATCAGACAAAACCCCCTTGAAAATCAATTAGCAGCAAAAGGCGACTATCAAAGAACAAATTAAAACGGAGTGGAGCTTAGTGCTCTGTCAATAAGCAATGCAAACAATATTTAATTATGGCAGAGAGAGAGATGGAAAACTCCCCGCTGCTGAGATGGGAATATGAGCCTGCTCTCCCACACCCAGTTCTCTCCCCGCTCCCTTGTACAGACTGCCACAGCTCTGGCAGTCGAACTGAGAGAAGGGCTCATTTCTTCTCGAGAAGGAGATTTAATCTGTCTGCAGATGCAAAACATGTTTCCCTCCTGCGGCTTCAGAACAGAGACATCTCAGTTGTCCGGTACAGGGAGGGAGGGGTGCCGTTGGGAACATGAGGATTGCCAAGTGTGGCCCCCTCTTTTCCGGGATGTTCATCTCTCTGAGCAAAAGCCTTCAGGGGGGAAAGTGGTTTGTGGGAGGAACTCCCATAGAAAAGCATCCAGTGGTGGAGATGCTCAGCACCTCTTCTCCGGCCAGCTCTCCACCAAACAGCTTCTGAACTTGTGATCTCCGTAAACCAGGGTGAGCAATGCGTGCCCTTCCAGATGTTTTATCCTACAACCCCCATCAGTCCCAACCAGTATAGTCAATGATGAGGCATTATCAGGGTTGTAGGACAAAGCATCTGAGGGTCACAGATGGCCCACCCTACCAACACTGGCATTTCATTTACACTTGTTAGGTGTGACGGAGGCAGGGATGGCTCTACAAGTAATTCAGTAACTCCATACAAAGACAGGTGCTCAAGCCCGGGGTGGGCCAGTGAGCACCTTGGCAGCCTGACTCGGTGGGTTGCAAGCTGTTGCATAACTTGCTTCAAGAAGCCACGTTAGTAAAGGTTCTCTTTCACATCTCCTTAACAATGCACAGGGAGACTGCCCTGTATTTCAAAGAGGGTATTTCAAAGGCCTGCTGACCTTTCTAATGTTAAGACGGACCGCGTCTCACAATATTGTACAGGGGAAGTGTCCTTTTATCTTTTTATGATTTAATGCATCTGGAAATACTGGAGTGTAATGCAGGATGAGAAGAGGGGGAGGAGAAGTAGCAGCAGCAGCTGCTACAGCAGCGATAGCAGCACAAACTCGTCCATTAGCACCGGATAGTTCAATGGTATCCCTTGTGCCCACCCGCAGTTATTTTTCCATCTTGGAGAATGCCCTTACCTGGGATTGCATGCATACCTGCAAACCCTTCTATGAACCTGGGGCGTTCATGAAGAAGGCCACTGTGGCACATGCAGAGGCACAACTGAGGTTTGCTCCTTTGCGACTCCCCTGTCCTCCGGCTGGGACCCAGCCAGCTGGAGGAGAGCTGTGATGGCAGCCATGGCTACCCTGGCATCCAGCAGGTGGCGCCTGGGACTGAGAGCCCGTTCGGGAGGATGCAGGAAGAGCCTGGCCCAGGAACAGGGGAAAGGTGTGAGCGGAGATCAAACTCTGGCCTCAGTGGGCCTGTGGCAAGGCACATCTGGTTTGGTCTAGTGCTTGTGATTGTCTACATGGGCTCCTGCTGGGAATGAAAGGGAGAGCTATTCTTGGCATAAATGCCGAGGTCGGGTGGATATGGACTCATTATTTGTTGTAAGCCATCCTGAGACAATTGTTGTAAAGGATGGCATATAAATGGTATAAACAAACAAACAAACAAACAAACCAGGTGAGGAGGGGTCCTGGAAACTAGGAAGCTCGGATGTTGAAATGGAAGAAGTGGAGGGGCTTGTCTCAAGGGCACCTTGCAAGCTGTTCAAGTGGATGCTGAGCACAGTCCGGATTTACAGCTGCAGGGAGGGAGAGTGGGAGAAGAACTCCTGCAACCAGCTGAGCCTGGCACGACTCTTGATCCCATGGTGCAGTGCTGGGAGAGAAGGGCTGACCAGCTAGAGAGGAGATGGACAGAAAAGAGAGGCTTGCCCACTTCCAAAAAAGACATTCCAGAGGGAACGGACCCAGGGATACTCAAACGGAGAACCCAGGAAGTTGTTGTTAGATTAGGTTCAATGAATCACTCTGTGCAGGCTCAGAGACTCATTCTTTCTTGGATGTGCTTATTGGAAGTGCACTGGATAATAAAGAGGTTTTGCCAAAGAACAGTCTGCATTTTGGAGAGTATGAAGGGGGGACCTAGCTTGTGACAGCTTGATCCCAGGATCATGGCTTCCATGGTTCTGGTATGCAACTACTAGTAAAATAAAGAGCCACTCCAGACTCATAAAGAAGGAGCAGGCAACGCAAGCAGGGAATGATGCACTTTGGAATTGAATTCCAGATGTCGTGGCTGCAGGGACACATGCCAATAGCAGGAGGACTGCGCAGTGAGTCTGGAAAGCACAACAACACTGAAACCACTTGGTCGGCTGTCAGGGAGATCATAGTAGAATACTATGGACTGTGGTAACCATGCAGGATTGCTTGTCATGTTGCGTGAGCCCAACTCCCTGTCAAATTATCCAAGTGTGAATGTGCCCATTGACAGAAAACCGTTTCCCTGATTCCGATAAAAAATAGTGCTCCCCTCTGAATCTGGGCCACTCATTCCTCTCATTTCAGGTCTGCCTCCTCCTTCCCATTTCACTTCCCAGTGTCTCTGGACATGGGCTAAGGATCCTGAAAATGCAAGTAGGCAGGTGAGTCTCCTGGAACATCTGTCAGCTTGTTGTCACCTTCAAACAGTTCCAAAATGAATGTCTTCCTCTTCCAAAAGCGCTGCTCCCGCCCTAGCATATGGCGTTTAACAAAGGGCCC